AAACCAATTATGAAGAAGAACCTAAAAAAGAACATATTATATGGTAGAAGAGAAAGTAATAGGTTATAGTTAGATGAACATGATAAAAAAACTACTCCAACTTGTTCCTTTCCTCTAGCTTAACAAGTCTTTCACAGCATACATAAATAATCAAATATTTGATCTTAACACCATCAAAATAGTTTCTTTTATAAAGCTATATATGATACACTTGAACAGAAATACTTGTCCAAATCGTATATGTGAAGAATTGTAGCAATTATCCTCTGTCTGTGTTTAAACTTTGAGCTTGAATAGTTTGCACTTAAATATGGAATAGTCTTATGAATATACACTTCTGGCAAGTTTTTTTATAATCTCCTTTTACAGACAGTCAAGCAGACATTGTCAAGAAAATTGTTTTATCTCTGTAAAATACATTTTGTAGCCCTGCTTTGTAACACTGGAAATGCCCAGCTCACTTTGGCCACAGTGAAGTGGGATGTCAGTGCAGTACCCTCTTGAGATACAAATTTAGGGACAGTCATATTAAATGGAAGATTGGAAGGGGGGCTGTAGGAGTGTCACCCAAGCATTATCCTTCATGGTAAGAGTTACTAAGCGTGGATTTTTCATTTCCAAATCAGTCATTCCTCCCACATGGTTTTGTCCTGGCATTTGCTATGGTCATGGCATGATACCTACTGACTTACGGTTGCTGGGCCAGTTAGCGAAGTGTGGTTTCAATGGGAGATGCTAAAGCTCCTTCTGGGCTTGTACCCTGCAGACAAGGGAAATGGAGATATAGCAGTAGCTGCCCCACAACAGTGATGAAAACTTGGGAAAAAGGAGTAAGAGGGAAAAGGAGTAAGAAGCTGGGGTTTTTTAAGCAAAAAAGATGACGACAAATGTAACACTTCCACAGTTTGTTTTACTTAAAATTTATTTTAGATTGGGTGAGGCAGCCTAGGCAGTGGCTGCTTCACTAGATAGAGTAATAGATTTTCTACAGGAAGGATGGCTTTGCCTTAAAATGCTTCTACTCTAGCTGATACTCTACCACACTGTTGAGAACTGAATAATTGTAGTTTATTTAGAAGTTGTTCACACTTTTAGATTAATTTATAGTCCTATTCCATACATGGGGCTAGAGCTTTCAGAAACAGGAGTACACTGAGGAAAGGACAGAAACTTTAGTATAAAATTCAGTGGTAGTTGAAGTCTCCCTGAAATGCATTTTTTAACTTCTTATGCTCACAGATATCAAGTTATAACTGTGCAGCATCAGCAGTGAGGGGACACTGCAGTGGCCTACCAGTGTCAGTGTTACAGAACAGAAGGACATCCTCACCAGCGCTCCTTTAGCAGAGGGGAGCTGAGCTCCCTGAGATTGTTCTCTAATAAGGAGCAGTGGTCATCACAGAGGAGTGACTTCGGGTGCTCTGATATGGTTTCTGCAAAGGCCTTTCCAGAGGCTTTTGGAGCCAGGTAGAGGGTGTAGGGAGATTCACCTCCTTGGGGTTGACTTTTCCAGCCCATCTCCCTGGTTTGGGGAATGGTTCCTTTCTGGATTAATACTGCTGCCTCCTATCAGTGTGACTACAGTGACATTAAAGCTTGAATAATTCTCCATCTGCCATCAGTAGTACTTTTCTAATTAATAGGTTTAATCATTACTGTTCTAAGGAATATATTGTAATTTAAATTTTGTTTAAATATTTTTCCAAATATTTAAACAATATGTTTAAATATTATTCCAAACTATGCTTTAAATAAGCCAAGCTTACAGCAGTTTAGTAATTTAGAAGTAAATTTATGTTGTCCTGTACTGATGTTCCATGCTAGGCAGCTTGTACTTAGGAAATAGAAAACAAAATTTGGCATTATAAATAGATTCATTGATGTTAATTTAATGATCATAACAACAGTTACAATGATTGTAGTTTTATTAAAAGATACTTTGTAGAAAGCTGTCAAACTTTGTCTGAGTTTTGCAGGCATGTGAAAAGCATTTAATTGACGCCATGGTATTTTATTATTATTCTCATTATACTGTCTCACTAAGTAAAACTATCTTTTCTAAACCAGTCTCATTGTTACAGAGTATAAGCACTTAAGAGAAATGAGTTTGAGTGCTACTACTATTACTGTTACACCGCAATCTGGAGTTTTTATACAGGCAAAATTGCATGTCCTAGTAAGGACTAACGGCCACCTCAGCCTGGGACACCTCATGTTAGTTAATTCCTTAATCCTAAACACTGAGGACATTTCCCAGGAGCTCTCATCAAATCCAAAGACATTTTGTTGTCAAACAACTTAGATCCTAGTTAATTTTTATGCTTATTCATTATGTTAACCAAAGAGTTAAATCTTTTCTAAGATAAATTAATGGTTAAATCATTCACTAAAAGCCTCGCCCAAATTCTAGCTTTCTATCCAGATGTGCTAGATAAAAATTTGTGCCTGTGCTCTCCCAGTAAAAATATTTGTGGAAATTTAGTTGCACATAGTAATATTAAACCCCGTATATTTTGAAGAAAGGCTGCTGAGACAGATGGCTTGCAGTAATGAATTATTAAGAAACATTGTACAGAATATAACAATTTTCAGGTTACTAGTGTGCATATTATTTAGAAGTTTGGATTCCTCTTTTTGTTTGGAGCATGTCTGTGTGTCCCCCTTCAAATGCCCACTTGAAGTACTCCAGGTGGAAGTAACTGCTGCTGATACAAAGTGCTGTAGCTCAGCTGCTTGCTAAGGTAAGCCACTAGGAACACATGACTTTAATTTGTCTTTCTCAGTAAAATAAATATGGAGCTTGGTTTCTTACTGCTGTGCTGATGTTTAAACTCTGAAAAGTGTGGCTCAGCTACCTGTGAGAATGCTTGTCCCTCCACGATGTCCCACTTTACTGGGGTCATAACGAAGTTTTGTCAGAAGAAAGAGCTTTTCTGGCAGTTCATCCACGTGACACCAGACACTCCTTGCTGCATTAATGGAAGTGAGCCCTGCTCACCTTCTGATCTAGATGGAAACCCTGTCCCTTGAGCCTTCAGCAACTCTGAGGAAAAAAAGCTGCACAGTCTATGAATTAAATCTCCCCAATTCTTGTCCTTTTGGCAGGACCATAAGTGGAAGAGATTTCTGCACTCACATTTCAGAAAGAACACTGACAGAACAGTGCTGACCGGGTTTATACAACCCGATGCATGTTTGCTAACCCTTGCTTTTCCCTGCCTGGCTGCGTCAAACAATTAAACCACTAAACGCTGAGATCCTACACTCAATTGTATGCCAGTGAATTGGTGGATGTGAACAGTCAGCTAGGAGCAGTTGTATGAATGAAACGGTTTCAGACACAGTTTTTCTAGGAAAAGGGGGTATTCTGAGAATGATCTCCCTTTTTTTCCTCGTCGGGTTAATTTTGAGAATCCATAAATTAAGGGAGTTAGTGTTGCTAGTGTAGTTTGGGTAGGGATCTTGTATAAACGGATTTTAAATCTGTTTGCAAGCTGCACCTCCTAATCTTCTTAAAAGGATTTTCATGAGATTTAATGCTTATTAATACCTGTCAGCTAAGGCACAGTTGAAAAAAAAGGAATGGGTGAAAATCTTACTAGAAATATTTCAAAAGGGAGTTGGTGTAGTTGGTTGTGGTTTGAAGAGGTAAGAGGATGTCACTGGGATGTAAAAGCAACTGTATACACCAGAGAGTTATTATGCTCGTCTGTAGTTAATTAGGGTAAGCTGGAGTATAAATGAGGATAGGGATTTAATCCCTCCTAGACTTAATTTAATAAGAAAGATGAGAGGTAGAGATTCAATGGGGGTGAGATCTGGGCTTCTTCCCTGAGACAAAGATTTAGATCCCTTAAGTCTTTGATTTGAAAGAGGAATATTTAAAAAAATCCTGTTGGAACGAGTGCTTAGACTGTGGGTGTAACAATCAGATGATAAAGATGTGTATTTGTGAACTTAACCTTGGTTCATTGTAAACTACCTGACTTCTGTTTATTTAGAAGCTCATTCACTGGCTGAAAGAACATTTTTATCAGTAAAATTAGCTAGCAGCATTTGAGTGAGTGCTAGGTCTAATGAGCACAGACAGTTGTCTATCTTTCTGGCACCCCTTTATACATAAATGATTTCTGCATCTGATCCATCATGATCTCCTAGGAGCATTCAATGTTTCTTTCTGTGCTTAGTGGTAGGCATTTAGTCTGTTATGAAAAATTGTTTCTAATGCTGTCAGTTAGTGGTTGGCTTACCTACTGATTCATAACGTTTGATAATCACATTTAAAATGTATGTTATGGGGCTAACTCACTTTAG